GGGTGGACAGGGACAGGGTGGGTCAGGCCTCCCTCTGCGGTGGGACCTGGGGAGGCCTGGTGCCTGGGGGTGAGGGAGGGAGATGAGCCTGAAACTGTATCTATTTTAAAGACAATCCCACCTGTCTGTGCAGAGGGGTATCTTCATGTGCAAGCCTGTGGGTGTGTCTCCCTTTGCACCCACGGGCAGGAATGCTGAACCAGTGAGCGTGTCGGGTGAGCGTGTTTATTTGTGTCCATACCTGCACCTGGCTGTGCCTCCACTCACCCCACAAATATTTATTGAGCAGCTACCGTGTGTCAGTCTCGGCCTGGGCCCCAGGAAGACAGCGGCGGGCCAAACCGAAGCCTGGGCCTTCGCGGGGCGGCAGGTGACAAGCAGAACGAAGGGGCAGGTTTTCTTGTATATAAGGAGGTGGAGAAATTAAGCCGCGGGGGGCGGAGTGGGGAGGCCCGGGGGAGGGGGGCAGGTGAGTCCTAGGGAGAAGCTTCCTCCACGCAGACTTGGGAGGTGCGAGGGAGTGACTGCAGGTGCACGCACACGTGTGTGCACACGGGGAGAGCTGGGAAGGCGAGGTGTGGAACCAGAGCCGCGGAGGAGCCACCGAGGGCGGGACCGCTTGAGCTTCCCTGGCTCGGGTGTCGGGAGCCCTCCGCGCTGCCGTGGGGGCAGGGATGGTCTCCCACTTGCACGGACGGCCACCACCGTAATACGGACCGTCAAACAGCGGCCGTTCACTGGGCTTCCCCACTGCCAAGGCACAGTGCTGGCTCTTGTTTCGTCCTCACGCTGACCCAAGGTATATGGTCCCATTGTCCTCAGTTTACAGATGGGGACCCTGAGGCTCAGAGTGAGTAAATGATTCACCCAAGGTCACAGGTCTCTGGAGCTGCAGAGCCAGGCCTTGAGCCCAGCGGGTCGGCACGTGGTGCATACTGTGGTGTGAAAGACGCCCCGCCCCTGGGGGTGTGCAGTGCACGACCTTCACAACTGTACATAGGGAACCCGACCCGGCTGTCTCCAGAACTGAGCTCTGAGGACTGCCCTAGGCTGTCACACGGCCACACCCTCCAAAGGAGATCAGTCCCATCTACCTTTCTGCCAAGTGATGGCCGGCCGGGGCGCTCCTGAAGTCTCGCAAGCCAGCACGACTGACATGCCATCGATCACTGTGCTGTCCAAGGGGCCCCTGGTGATGTTGGGGGCGATGCCTGCAAAAGGAGACAGTGGAGCCTCTCAGCTACACCCCAGAGGAGCCCCCACCGCTAGAGGGCCAGGTGCTCATCCTGCCCCTGCCACCAAGAAGGACGCAGGTGTCCCGATGGGACCCCAGCACCGGAGAAAAGCCCGGAAGGCCCTCCGGGGCTCCCTGCACCACCTGCCCTGTGGCAGGACCCAGGCTACACCAGCCCTTCTGCCTTGATTCTTCGGCCTCCATCTGGGGGAAAAGGGAGGACCCCCGAGGGCGGCTCACACCCACCATGATGCCTCCTTCACTGAACAGGACATCGAGGCTGTGGGTTCCTGACAGAAAAAACGGTTATGGCCAATAGAAGAACACTGCCCACTCTGCACGAGGCCTGGCCCTGGAGAGTCCACAGCCCGGTCGAGCTGTGGTTCTTCAAGATGCAGCACAGCGTTCTTGCTTTGCGCTGGCCTTCCCTGGCCCGGCCCTCAGGGGCAGACGTGCATGGGAGCAGAGCTTGGATACGGACCAGCGCCGGCTTCGCCCACACTCCTCGGAAGCAAGAAGCGAGACGGCAGCCCTTCTGTCCCCAGTGCCGTTTTGGGGCAAACCCAGCTGGCCCTCTGCCCCACGGCCGCCCTGTTCGGGGGGACCTCTGTGGGACTGAGGGCCTCCCCCGAGGGACGCCGGGAGGCCCAAGACCACACATCCTCTTGCTGCTGAGACAAGGAACCCAGCGGCACTTTGCACGTGCACAGAGCTCTGCCATCGACAGTGTGGCCACTCATGTGGCATCGGCTGCGAACGCAGCTCCGTGAAGAGGGCGGGAGAGCTATGCTCCCCGCCAAGAGACTCCAAGAGGGCAAAAGGTTTGAAGGAGGGACTGAGATGAAAGCCCTGGGTCTCTCTGGAGAAGTGAGCGAGTCTTCTCAGTGGGGACGGGGTGGCTTCAGCCCTGTCCACGAGGCCAGGGGCAGCTGCGAGGCCAGAGCAAGACGTGGCCTCACAGACGCTTCTCTCCAAGAGCCCGTGAACCCCTCCGCGGCTCAGGGTCCTGGAGCGCCAGACCCGGGCTGGGAGAGCAGTGGGTGCAACCGGCTAGGGCCGCCCCCGCTGCTTAGTTTTCTGGAATCCTAGCTCTGCAAAATGCAGCATCTCTTCTCGAGAGGCTGCTGGCTTGGAGGAAGGCTGCATCCTGGGAGCGGGAGGGACTCGGGGCAGGACAGCAGAGGCCCAACTTACTGGTGACGGCCAGGTAGGTAGAGGTCTGCACCTCGCCGGCCGCGTTGCGGGCAAAACACTGGAACATGCCGGTGTCGTCGGGCACCAGCCCGCTGATCTGCAGGCCCCCGTCGCTGCGCTGCCGGAACCGGTTCAGCCTCCCCACCTCCACCACGGCCGCATCCTTGTACCAGATGATGGAGGGCGGTGGCACACCTAGGGGGACACGCGGGCCCACAGTCAGCCCACCTCCGGGCTCCCTCCCTCCTGCCTCTGAGGGGTGCCTGGAAGTCTGCATGGGGAGGGTGTCCCTGTGTGTCCTGCTCCCTAGAGCCTTCTTAGAGGGGCCGCTAATGGTCTTGGAGGAGGTGAAGGATGTTCTCGGGGTGGCATTTCTCAAGTTCTTATAAGAGCAGGGGTTCCGAGAAAATTTAGCTGGGTTAGTTTCGCTTGGAAATGGTGGATGGGACAAATGAATCAAAAAAATTTTTTTTTTAAGAAAGAGAGCGAGAGCAGGGGAGGGGCAGAGGAAGAGGGAGAGACAGAATCTTAAGCAGGCTCCATGCACAGCGTGGAGCCCGATGAGGGGCTCGATCCCATGACTCTGGAATCATGACCTGAGCCGAAATTAAGAGCTGGGACGCTCAACCTACTGAGCCACCCAGACGCCCCATAAATTAATTTTTAACGGGAATTAATTTTTTTTAATGCTTATTTATTTTTGAGAGAGAGACAGACAGAGCGTGAGCAGGGGAGGGGCAGAGAGAGAGGGAGACAGAGAATCCGAAGCAGGCTCTGGGTTCTGAGCCGTCAGCACAGAGCTGGACGTGGGGCTCAAACCCATGAACTGTGAGATCGTGACCTGAGCTGAAGCTGGACGCTTACCCGACCGAGCCACCCAGGTGCCCTAACTGCAATTTAATTTAGCAGAGACTTTTACGTATTTTGGGAACCTCCAACGGGGGTTTGTTTCCCAAGCCCACATGACCGCAGAGTCCCGTGTCGAGCAGCACACAGAGGAGGCTGGTGCTTCTCGGGAGCCCTCTCCTACCTGGTCTGCACAGGGAGGTGAACAGGGGCTCCCCGTCTCTCAGCCTTGCCCAAGCCACACGCCCCTGGGCCTGGCATGGTCTTCTCGCACGCGTCCCCAGCCTCCCCTCTCTCCCTCTGGGTCCCGGCTCAAATGTGACTTCCCCAGGTGAGCTCCCACCCTCCATCTGAAGGAGCACTCATGGCCCCAAGCCCCCTACACCTGCTTGCTTCTCCTTCCCAGCTCTTTTTCAACCCTGACATTCTACGACGCTGTATTTCATCCTTTCCACGGGGCACACACATTCTTTCACGTGGTAACATCTCCGAGACAAAGGCGTCTTCCTATCGAAAGCACATCATCATTTCATTGGTAGTCTTTTTTCTTTCTTAGTGGCACATAAAATAATGGGGCATCTCACAACCCATGACATTTTCGATGAAATGAAATAAAGTATCTTTATTTGCTCATGGGTTGGTCTGCCTTCCTTCGAAGAACGTTAAGTTTCGTAAGAGCAAGGATTTGGCTGGCTGTTGGGTTCATTCTGTATCTCCCCAGCCCAAGAGCAGTATTGGCACGTGGAAAACCCTCCGAAAATGTCTGTTGGGTGAACGAAGGGATCTTGGCCTTCCCCTCGCGTGGGCTCAGAAGGGGAGTCCTTCCTCCCTCCCTCCACTGCGACTCTCCTTGCCTGAGCTACGTTCTGCCTCTTTGTTCAAAATGACACCGCGTGCCATGGTGGACGCCCTCTCCTACCATCCGATCACCCCGGATGCCACCCCGGTTTTGGGGCTGCCTTGTAGCTCAGCCGGGCCAGAAAGAGGGAGGCTGGGGATGGGAAGAGTGGAAATTCTCCAGGAGCTCTGACTAGGGGGGTTAAGTAGAAAAGAGTAGGGGAGAAAATGGAGCAAAATGGACCAGAAACCAGGCGGAGCTCATGAGACCCATCTCAGGCGAAACGCACCCACACGTTCTAACAGTTCTGACATTGTCTCCAACTCTGAAATTACGGGCAATTTCGGTCTGTCACCTATCCTGAAATTACGGTAATTTGGATTCATTTGTAACCCTCAAGTTAGGGTAACGTGGGTTGATTTCCAGTCCTGAGATTATGGTAATTTGGCCTGTTTGTTTCCTGGGGCGTCTGCTCACAGCCAGACTAACTCTCTGCTCAGTGACGATGCCTGGAGAAGGAAGTGGAATTTAGAAAAGTTTGCGACAGGGACAGGAAAGGCTGAGGGTCTGGGCGCGGGGGTCCTTGTTCCCCGCTGACCATGCCACTGTGTTACCTTTGGCCCGACAGGGAATGTCCATCACTTTCTCCATCTCTGCTGTGATGTGTCTGTCTGGCTCCTTGACAAACTGGGGAGGTTCTGCAGGAGGAGGGACCAGAGGAGGGGCTCAGAGCCATGCTCCTTTTGATACAGCCCCTGCTCCGGTCACCCAGCCATACTGCCCGTAGGATACAGCCACTGCTTGGGACGCCCAGCCATGCCCCTAGCCCTGGGTGGAGAGCCCCAGCAGCCCTGCCCCAGCTCACCCAGCACAGACAAGTAAGCTCCACGGACGACAGAGGGGATGCTGCTGCTGCGCAGGGCGGCCTCGCACTCGTAGTAGCCGGCGTCACTGCCCGTGGGGCCCGGGATGGTAAGCCGGCGGTTGTAGTCGCTGATGCCCCCCGACAGCGGCACCCCATCTTTCTTCCAGATGATGTGCAGCTTGATCAGGGGCCTGGAGGGGGTGAGGGAGGCAGGTTCTCAGCCACAGGGGCTTCCAGAAACCTGAGGGCCAGGGCAGGGGTGCGCGGGAGTGCCAGCCCGGGGCCCCAGCCCCTGCCACTTCCTAGAGGTGCAAGCCCTTCAGCGCTCTGGACCTCGGTTTCCTTGTCTGTGAAATGGGGGCGCCTGTGCCCCCCGGGGTTGTGGTCATGGGGACGCTGTAATGCAGGTGGATTAGCTCAGCCCGGCACCCACCGGGGACACGGGGCTCCCGAGTGCAGGAGCAGCACCCTGCACCCCACGCCACGCGTCTTGCTCCTCTGCCCCCCTTGTGCTGCGCCCCGTCCAAACAGAAGCCGGCGGGCAGGAGCGGCCAGAATGCCGGGCAACATGACAAAGAGGAATGAGAGAGAATCGCCCAAGGTTTGGAGGGAGAAAGGCAGGCAGACGGACATACCCACCTCCTGGGTTAGACAGAGGGCGAATCGGGCACCCTCCTCACCGACCCTGGCCCCCCAAAGCCCCCTGAGATTGGGTGTGGCCTGCTCTCCCGTTTAGCGCCTGGTGGATCCTGGAGGGGTCTGTGCCAACCCCACGGGGTGCGCAGCGGGGTCCCGCAGAAAAGAGTCCTGTGATGGAGTGGGTCTGGGCAACGCTGGCTCCAGTGACGTTAGGCAGGCTCTTATAGGCATTCTCCGTGTCCTCAGCGAGTTCCTCTGCATCCCGCAGCCTTTCCCGCACTTGCGGAAAACCTGGGTCCCCGGGAGCCTATGCTTAGGAACGCGGCTCTCCGGGAATCTTCAACTGGGTGTGACCTCGGGGTCGCTGGTCTGACTCCCCACCCATCACCTCGGAGCATCTTTCTGGAGCACTTAAGAGGTGTCGGGTCAGGCTGGGTCCAGCACTCTACCCACATGCTCCCCCGGGGAGGTGGGTGCTCAAATCCTTCCCATTTTACAGTTGAGGAGACTGAGGCCCCGAGGATGGCCCTGGGCCCCGAGGGGGTGGCCTGTGGTATGGCAACCTTGCTGTTGGCCAGCTGGGTGGTCTCAGGCAGGTCGCTTGCCCTCTCTGGCCTGTGGGGTAGCGACAGCTCTGTTGGGCGGTTGTTGGAGGAAAGGAAATCGCGTGGGAAGGCACAGCACTGCGGCCACACGTGATAAGGCGCAGTCATTATTTAACTGTTTCCTGTGCGAGAGGAGTGAGGGCCGTGCATGGCTAGAGGGGGGCTGCGATTGTGCCCAACACCAGGTCTGCCAAATCCATCATGCGAGCCGTCTCTTAGCCCAGCATGCCTGTCACACGTGCCTGTGTGGCAGGGAGGTCACCTGTCCCTTCCAGGTTGCTCTCAGGGCCACAGGCGGGGCCTCAGTATTCGGGGCTGAGATACGCTGCCCCATAGCTTCCATTAGGGCCTCGGTCTCTCCTTTTGGGCCACGGACAACGAGCCCACCTGGCTCATACCCAACAACCCTCTGGAAGTAGCCAGCACGTCCACACGTCGCCCCTCCTCCAGGACAAAGGCCCCATCTCCTTTCATGGGGTCCTCATGTGACACTTCTGGGCCTACCTGAACTGGTCCCCTTGGAGCCCACATGTCAGGTGCACCGGCTGCAGTTAAGGGCAAAGGGGAGTAGGGGGAATTCACTACCCACCTGGCATTGGCCACGCACTCCATGGTCACCTCCGAGGTCCCGGCCACCACGCTGGTGTTCTTGGGAGGAATGATGATGGTTGGGGCGATGGGGTCTGCAGGTCCCCCGACATCTGGGGAGAGGTCAGGTGTTAGCCGGAAACACGGGTCGGAAATCCTATCTCTGCCTGGCCCCCATTAGAGGCTCATGCCACGGAAGACTTTTGTCCTTATGTAGCAGAGCAGGTGACCACGGGCAGTGCCACGGCTGAACCTGCAGACATGCCCCCAGGGACCCTCTTACCCCTCCCCCTCCTCTCTTCAGGGTCCAGGGAGCACCCACTGGAGACCGCCAAGACCTTCCCCCTTCTCCCCTTGTCCTGTTTTTGCCTTCAAAATCCTTCCCTCCACCCACATTTATCTTGTTGGCTTACATCACCACTTGTCATGTCTTCTACCTGAACGCAAACTCCCTGTACTGGGCTGGATAGTAATCCCCCCACATTCAAGTCCGCGGCAGCTGTGAACGTGACCTTATTGGGAAACAGAGTCTTTGCAGACGTAATCAAGTTAAGATGAGGTCCTTCTGTGTCAGGGTGGGCCTTACGCCCAATAGGACTTGTCCTTAGAAGAGGAGTGAAATTTAGACACAGACACACAGACACACAGAAGAGAAGGCCAGGTGACCTCGAGGCAGAGCCTGCAGCGAGGTGTCTCCGAGGCGAGGAGTGCAGAGGACTACCACCAGAAGCTGAGAGGCAGGAAAGGATCCTTCCCTCCAGCCTTCAGGGAGGGCACAGGCCTGCCGACACTTCTGGCCTCTAAAACCTGTGAGGGGACATTTCTGGTGTTATAACCGCCCCCTCCCCAGTTTACGGTACTTTGTTATAGCATCCTGAGGAAGCGAATACATTCCGTGAGGTGGGAATCTCATGGATCGTTGCTTTGGACCGAATTCTGTCCCCTCCAGATCGTACGTTGAGGCCCTAATCCCCATGCGACTGTATTTGGAGACGGGGTCTCCAGTAGACGGGGTTCCAGGAGGCCATAAGGGTGGGGCCTTAATGCAACAGGGCTGACGCCCTGATCAGGAGTGAAAGAGACGTCAGAGCTCTGTCTTGGCCACGTGAGGACACGGCGAGAAGGCGGCTGTGTGCAAGGCCGGAAGAGAGGCCTCAGCAAAACCCAGCCGTGCTGGTACCTTGATCTTGGACTTCCCAAACTGCCTGTGCTGAAGCCGCAGGTCTGGTAATGGGTTACAGCAGCCCGAGCTAACACAGTCTTGCTCATGCTTACTTTCTAGGACAAGAGTGATGTCTGACGCGTAGTAGGGGCCTCACGTGTATTTGACGGGGGAAGGCATGAACGGGTCCAGAGCTATCCGTGCACAACTTCGGGGACGATGATTGAAATGAAACAGAACGTGTCACGAGTGGGCTCTACAAACACCAAACGAAACGATACCTCAAACTTGTCCAACAGCTTTGCCTTTTCTATTTTTTGAGTTCTTTAGGAAGTGGCCAGGCTCTTATCTCTGTGGGCCAGCACTGGCCCAATGCTGACAGAAACTCAAGTACTCTCTGTGCACCTGTGCCAGGGCTCCTGAAAGTTCAAACACGGAGGGCTTTCTCTCTCACGAAAAATCCATCCAGTTGGCTCCTTTCCAGGAGACTCTGGAGGTAGCAGACTATAATGACACCCCCAGCCCTGGGTGGGGGGGGACAGTGACAGGACGGGGAGAACAGGTCATGGCCCCGCTGTCGCTCTGGGCCACGCTGGTTGGCCCTCGGCCACCCTGATGAGCGCTGGGCAGGTTTTCCTGCCTGGACTCCAGGCTTTGCTGGGAAAGGGAATAAAATGTAAAAAATAAAGTAAAATGAAGGGGGAAGAAAGGAAGCATATAAAGGAAAATAATTGCAACAATATAAAAGCCTCATGTAGGTGCCATAAAGAGCGATCGGATTGAAAGCTGCTGATATAGCTGAATCCATAAAAGTGTGCTCTAAGTTGTTTATTACATGCTGGGGCGCACAGGTACCACGGCGCAGATTAATGGGGCAAGAGGAGGAGACAGTTAGAGCCCAAGAGGGGTGCCCCACCGCGGAGCCAGGTAAACAGAGCCCTCGGAGTTTAAAAATATGAGGGCCACCCCAGGGTCTCAGGGCCAACTCGTCGGCTTTGGGAGGGGTGGAGGGGAGACTGACACCTATCAGGGGACCCTGGAGGTCACACCGAGGTCCTGGGGGGTCAGGAAGACTTGGTCTGAAACCTTGTTCTGCCCCAGGCATCCTGACGTGGGGAGGGTCCTCAGCCAGATCTTGATTTTCTCAGTGACACAATGGGGATAAAAATGACTGTGTCTCAGGGTTATGTGAGTTCGGCCCCTCACTCAACAGCTCTTTTCTGGGTGAGGGCTCAGTCCACGCCGGACTGTGCCAGGCACCAGGGACTCCCCACTGAGTGAGACAGGCAGGGGTCTGTCCTCATGCAGGGCATGGTCTGGAAGGATCTCAGATCGATGCTTAGACATTTATCGGATTAAAGTGCATGGGATGGATGCTGGGAAGAAGCGCCTCAGTGCGGGTGGCGAGGCTGGTCTGGGGCGAGCACAGAGTACCTGGCACATAGTAGGTCCTTAATAAATGATAGGCCGTCCTTCTTGGGATTTACCTGCCTGTCCTCAGGGAGAGATTCCTGGTCTCCCGTCTTCCACCCCAACCAAACCACGTGATGGACCCAGAGGCTCCCAGGAGGTGAAAGTCACAGTGACTGAGGGCAAGAGGCCATGTGCCATGCCAGGCACCATCCCAGGCACCGTCCTGGCACTCTGCTAACCGACGCTCATCACAACGGCCACCGGAGGTGGGTCATTATCGTCATCCCACAATTTACAGATGAGAAAGCAGAGACAAACGGAGGAGGCCAAAGCAGTGAGGCAGTTTACTTCCCAATGGCAGTTGCTAACAAGGGACAAAACCAGGAACGGGGACCGGGTCTCCGAGGCTGTAAACCCAGGCCGTTAGCCACTCCCCAAATCATCTCTCTGGCTCAGTCGGCTCAGTCCTCACTCGGGCACAGAAGGAAACAACTCTCCCTCTTGGCTGCCATCAGCTCTGCCAGAAGTTGTCTGAACATACCTCTGAGCACCACCAGGTCCTGGCTGCCACCGGCATCCCTGTCCCCTCTCCCCCAAGCCCCCTGCATGCACTCCCCTTCCCCTGTCACCGGTGACCCCCTGGTTGCAAATCCCCTTTTCTCCACTGATTCTCTTCGACTGCTCCAGACATTTGGCTCTGGTGACCTCACCTGCCTCCCACGCAGTGCTCACATGGCTCTCTCCCTGTCTCTGGATCCTGAAATGGACAAGCCAATGCCCTCTGCCCCTCCCCGCTCCCCCCCTGTTTCCTGGCTCCCCTCCGACCTCACCAGCCTCCTGTTTGGAGAGGGAGGCTCTTGAGGTGATGTGAAAGCAGAGGACAGCTTGGGGTGGACCGGGGATGTCAAGATGGCCCTGCGTGGCACGGACTTGCCCCAGGCAGGACACATCCTACTGACAGGTGCTCACGGCTGGGGGGCCTGTCCTGTCAGCTCCTGGCTAAGCAGGTCTTCAGATGACCACCTAGGGTGAGGAGGACGGCTGGCTGTGGCTGGGGACGGAATGCAGGACATCTGCCTCATTGGACCCATACTCTGGACAGTGGGGTGAACGGAGCCCAAAGGTCAAGCCAGGAAAATCACATGCAAACCAGAGCAAGGAGGAGGGGTGTCTTCCACGTGAGTGCCTGATGCGGATTGAATCCGGGGTTGGGGCTGGGTCCTGCTGCCCCTGGCTGATTTGTTTTTTCTTCTAAATTTTATTTACTTTTGAGAGAGAGGGAGAGACATAGTGCAAGCAGGGGAGGGGCAGAGAGAGAGAGGGAGACACAGAATCCGCAGCAGGTTCCAGGCTCCAAGCTGTCAGCACAGAGCCTGACGTGGGGCTGAAACTCACAAACCGTGAAATCATGACCTGAGCTGAAGGTGGACATTTGACCCACTGAGCCACCCAGGGGCCCTGGCTGATTTTGATAATAGTCACAGTGAGGGACATCACTGTGATGCCTTCTCCCCGAGGCGCCTCAGTTAATCCTCCAATTACACGTTGCCACAGGCATCACATTACAGGTGAGGAAAACGGAAGTTTGAGGACCACATGACTCACCTGGGCCACGGGTCAAGTGCATGGGGGTGGGGGAGGCAGGGAGGCAGGTATCCAACATGGGGGCTAAGAACCACAGGTGGCTGTGAGCTCTTGAAAAGTGACTGGCGCCCCTTTGATTTGATGGGATTTAATTTTATCTAATTTACATTTAATTAAAAACGGATCCCCAAATCAGTTATTAGAACACTTATAAGTACGTGTAGAACAACATGGGTATCCGACACCACCTTTCCAGCTGTAAATTTGATGAAGTCTAAACACAGATCACGTATTTCGGATGAAAACGGAGCAACCAAATTGAGATGTGCTCCAAGTGTAAAATACGCAGAGGTTCTGAAGGCTCAGTATGAAGAAGAAGAAACCCGGTGCAGAGTGCCTCGTTAATATTTTCCGTATTGATTGTGTTAAAATGGTAACATTTTGGATATGTTGGGTCACATAAAATACATTAATAAAATTAATTCCCCTATTTCTTTTTTGTTTTTTTAATGGTTATACATTTATTTTGAGACAGAGAGAGAGCAAACAGGGGAGGGGCAGAGAGAGAGAGAGAGAGAGAGAGAGAGAGAGAGAGAGAGGATCCCCAAGCAGACTCCATGCTGTCAGTGCAGAGCCCGACGTGGGGCTCCACCCCACGAACCATGAGATCATGACCTGAGCTAAAATCAGGAGTCAGACACTTCACCGACTGAGCCACCCAGGTGCCCCCAGGTTTGCATTTTTCAAGAGCTGTGACAGTCTGTGTGAGGTCACCAGGGTTACTCCTGGGCAGGGGTCAACTCCCAACTCCCGGGCCACTGGCTTTGCTCTTAACTTTTCCATTTCTGAAGAGCATAAGCGCTCCCCCCCCGCTAAGAAGCAGCACTGCCCTGGGCTGAGGAAGGATGGAGGGACGAGGAGGGGGAAACAGAGGGAGAGGCGAGGCTCCGTGAGATAAGTGAGGGCAGACAGAGCTGGTGGTGGGTAAAGTGGCAATTGCTCCTAGTAAATTGGCTGGCAGGCAGGCAGGCTGGGGGATTTGTGTCAGTGACATGAACAGGGTTTTGAAGCTCAATCACTCGTGGGAGGAGAAATTAGCTGAAAACCAGCTGATTCTGCTCTTAATCCAGTACAAATCGCCGCGTGAGAGCAGGAGGCGAGTGGCGATGGGGTGGGGGAAACAGACAACCGGGGGAGGCTTGGGCAGATAACGGGGGTCCGGAAGGGTCCTACGCTCCTCCCTTGGGCCAGATGGAGGGTTACGGGGGGCAGAGCTGAGACAGAGAAGAGAGGGAACGATGTTCACAGTGGGCCCCAGGATAGCTGGCTTAAGTTGGGTGAGGAGGTTGGGTTCTGGGGAGGAGCACCGAGTGGGGGGCTCTAACCTTTGGTGCCAGGGTAACCTGAGTCACTCAGGAAGACGGCCTGGCCTTGATGCAGACCGTGAACACTGCCTCTTCCACAATGACTGAATTCTATTGGACTCCAGGTATTCTGACCACTAGAGAATATATGGGGGAAAACATCTCCCTCTGATGATTAAATTCCTTTCTCTATAGAAACAGCAGAGCCAGGTCATGGCTGGGCCCCAAGGCTACAGGGACCAGACTGAGACCTTGACCCAGGTCAACGTCAGAGGTTACATCTGTGACCCTGAGAGGTCAGTATCTGGAATGGAACTCTCCTCCCTGCGTTCAGGTCTCTTTCTAGGCGGACTGGAACTTGGGAAGGAGAGAATTCTGTGGATACAGGAAGGGATTCTGCTGGTGCTCAGAAAGCCCAGGAAGGCACATGGTATGGCCGAGGAACGTTCTGGGCTGTATAGATACTGGCAGACAGAGGCCGGGATCAGGGGAAGGACACGGGAAGGCTCCATACGCAGACCAGCACCCTCACTTTTGCTGCTGGTGGCTGCTTATCCCCATGCGACCGCGGGTGATAAATGAGACTTGCTTTTGGAGCAGGAGTGGTGCAGATGTGGAGAGACGTGAACATCTGGCTCCCGCAGCTTGTGTGGTTGCTGGGCGGCTGCGACACGCTCTGGCCCCACGTACTCTGTGCTTCCGGGCCTGGACTGGCTGCCTGAGCCACCCCACCCTCCTTCCCTGTTCCAGGGGTGGAGCACAGAGGGAAGGGGCCTGGCTGGCTGTCGAGAATCAGGCCAGGGAGGGGTCCCCAGCATTTCCAGCAGGGATCAGACACCTGCCTTCAGTCTCAGCTGGACAAATACCTCTTGGCAAAGGAGATCTAAGGAGCCGAGCCTTTTCATCTGCTATCGTCTATTCTCTGCCACTGGGGAGAGCTTTGCCTATCCATTCCAGGGTGCTGGGTGGTTTCTGGCAGAGAGGCATTTTTAGGCAGGAGCCTGGGCAGAGAGCCTATGTTCCGAGAGAAGACGGCCCGCTCTGAGTAGCAGCAGCACTCTGTGTGTACCCGCTGAGTAGAGGCTGTTAGTCTATTCCTCTAGAAATGAGTGCCCGGTCCCCTGCACGCTCTCCCTGTCAGCACCTGAATCCCAGAGGTGGCTATAACGCACACGTGCACACTCTCTCCGGCAGTCCACGCCCTCCCTGGGCCTCCGGCCCTGCCGACAGCCAGCTAAGTGTCCCCTCCCCCGATGCAGGATGTCCGTCTTGCCATGGGACCAGGATCCAGAACTCAGCTGCCTCCTTGCTCCCTCAGCTGGGTCTCCTCCTCCTATTCCTCAGAGGCCCCTCCCCGGCCCTCCTCCAGCCTCTCCGCTCCGCCACCATTCCATCTTCCCAACGGCCCTCTGGAGCCCCGTTCCCAAGATTTAATGACGCGCTCCTCCATCCGTCCCAGCCCCGGCCGCTTACTTACTCTCCACGGCAAGAGCGATGGGCTGGCTGGTCTTGTTATCCCCGTTCTTGTCATTAACAGCCTGCACGTAGTAGCGGCCTGCGTCGGGAGCCACCGTGGACAGGATGACGAGGGTGTTCTCCAGGGTGATGGCTCTGAGCAGAGGAAAAAGATTTGTCTGACAGGGGCCCAGGGGCTCTGAGCATCGGAGGATGGGAGCGAGGACAAGAAGCTGGTGGCTCCCGGAGCCCCTGCTCCAGCCCATCTCCCGGGACCACTTGCCGCCTAAACTTTAGCACATTTCGTTTGTAGAGAATGTGAATGTACTGCCAGCATGGGGCGGGGTCAGACCCAAGTCCAGCACATGCACGGAGGCCCGAGACGGTCCACATGAAGCTTCCCGGCCCCCCCCCCACACCTGGCCCAGGATGTCTGAGCCCCCCATGTGTTCTGTCCTTTCCCATGTCATAGCTTTGATGCTGTGTGTGTGTGTGTGTGTGTGTGTGTCCATCTCTGCACCAAAGAAATCCATTCACTGGAATGAATGAATGGATGAATGAATGGCGATGATAATGAATTTAGAAATGAGCAGGATCATTCCAGAATCAATGCCTTCACCTAGTCCTACATTTGTTCAGATGGATTCCAAAGCCACAGGTTTGCCTATTACACAGATGATGGGGGTTCACCTCTCCCTCCAGCCCCCTCCCAGGGTATCAGTTTCTACCTCCCTGAAGCTGGTCACCAAGGGTGAGACTGGCTGGGCTGGCTGAGAAGGGAAAAGGAGGCCAGCCGGGCAGTGGGGTGCAGGCTTTCTCTGCGGGGCTCCCATCATTCCCTGCCTGGTCTGCAGGCAGGGAAAGAGGTCCGTCCAGGCAGGAAGCTGGGGGCCCCATCCGACGTGGGTGAGACAGCACCGGGAACATTGCCCACGCCCGCTCTGCCCGGCTCCCCCTCTCACCCATTCTCTTGATGACAAAAAAAAAACCATTAGTTTGTCAAGTCTATCTTGGATTTTAATGTGATGTGCCCGAGACAGCTGTTAAACATCCTTAATGTTAGTTTAACAAGGACAGACCCAGTTGAATTCTTTTCAAATTTTCCCATTAGGTGAATGTTACAGAGTTTTAAAACAGGATCTCAAATAAACATCCCCGCTAATGCCTCTCCAACCGGGCTGTGCTGGTTTCCTCTCTCCTGATTTTGGGGGTTCATGGCCTGAGTCACGTCGTCAGCAGAGCTCTGGGGAAATAGGAGAGAAAAGTCGTCCTGCCCCATTTTTCTTTTCCCCTGGAGGAAAACAACCCTCTAGCTAATGAGCTCATGGGAGGTACAACAAAGCCAGTGGGTCCTTGTCCTTTGGTGTAGTCTGCGGGGCGGGCAGGGGTGCGGGAGGAAGACTGGGCCGTGTCAAGGGCAGGGGCAGCTCCAGAATGAGTTTGGTCCCAGCCTCTAAGGAGCACACAACCTCCTCCCTGCTGGGCCTCAGTCTCCACATCTGTGAAGGGGGTGGGGGAAGAAATGTTTGTGAAGCTCCCTCCCAGCCCTGAGGTTGAGCGATTCTGATTCCTGTCACTGCTTTGGTTCTGTCCCCATCTGGCCCGAGGCTGTCACCCTCCGTCTCGGGCAGCCCTCGCCTGCCACAAGGTCCAACGTCAGGGCTAATCTGGTGAGCAGTGGTGCCCCTGGACCACGTCACTGAAGCCCCCCACCCTCTCCATCACCACGGCACTGGAGACTCAGGTGGAACAGAGCCCCCCGGTGGGTTGGGAGCGCCGGGTGCCCCTGGGTTCCACTCCCCAGTGCATCTACTGCCCCGAACGCCCCCTTGCCTCCGCAGAGGGTCTCCACCTCCAATGTGCTCTCTCCTGGGCGATGAAGACCCACCCCACCCACCGATCTCTCCTTTTGCTCTCTTTTGTCTATATTATGATGGATCCTCAGTGGTTCTTACCCAGGGGCACAACAGGGACTTATTGGACCCCAAGTGTGGGTTGTGCCGTCGCTGAGATGCGCTGGCCTGGGTGAGATGGCAGTTCATTTACCTGTTTCAGGCGCCCCTGCCATTGAGGGGAAGGCGGTGGGACAGCGGGGCTGGGCTGGCAGGTATACGGTGGAAGGTGTGCGCACTACCTCCAGGTTTGGACCCTAAGAACCCGCCCACCCCGTGCGAGTCCTAGGTTCTCCCCTCTGTCAGAGCAGGGCAGCTCTGAAGCCCAGTGTTGAGGATGGCAGAGGCCCCAAATGACGGTGGAGAAGCGACCCTCCCATCTCTTGCCTGTGCCAGGACTTTAGATGAGTGTGAAATCCACTTCCCTGGTGCTAAGTCCCTGGGATTTGGGGGGGGGGTCTGTAAGTGCAGCTGGCATTGTCTTGACCAGCACTCGAGGCAAGGAAAGCACTCTGTGCTGGGGCCCCCCGGGCCAGGGGCGGTGCTCTGAATGTGGACCAGAATGTGGCAGGCAGACGGGCTGGGAAGCACTGATGACTTTGGCCTGCCCTCCCTCCACCCTCAGCAGGGGGCTGAGGTCCGTGGACTTCAAGCCTTCTGCGGGATGACCACCCCCTTGATAGATGGTTCTGGAATGGGCCTGTACCTCACTTCCAGAGTCCACAGAGCTGTCTCTGGTACTCAAAAGGACTTCTGGCCTGCTGCATCCCAGATACGCCCACTCCCGAAGAAGCTGGAGGTCAGGGTTCAAGTCTCGGGCAGGGGCTGGGCTACATTCTTCAGCCACACTCCTCTGGTTCCAATTTACTAGGTCTTTCCCTCTTCCCTGATTGGCCCAGCTCCCAACCCCACCTCCCATCCACTACCCTATTAAGCCAGCCCTTTTTTCCCTCAGGTCCACGGGGGCCCAATTGATAATTTCATTAAGAATAAAAGAAATCATCCCAGAACCTGACCAAAGCCCCCAGCATGTGTCTTTGTTGGGAATCTTGTCTCCTTTTCAGCAACGGGCACCAGGGCACAGGCGAAGTGTGGCTAATCACTGTCTCTGTCCCGGCAGGGAGAGCAGCCTTCTGGAGATAGCACCCGCCTCCAGCACCCCTGCACGCCCCTCTGGCTGATCGTGCCCATCAGATGCGTATCTCTGGCAAACAGACGCCAGAGAATTTGCTTCCAGGGACCTTTCCTCTCAGCTATGAATATTAATCTGCTGTAATTGCGGAGATAAAATCTCCAGTGTTCTCTCCTGTGTTTGGCTGGAGTGCTGGTGGGGGTGGGGAGGTGGTGGGTGCGACCACAAGGGCGGGCACGTGTGTGTAAGCCAGGATCATTCTGTCCTGGTGCCAGAGGCTGCTGGGAACGAAAAGGGGGTGAGGACAGAGGGCAGGAGTGAGAAAAGGGGGTGGCAAGGTGTTAGGCAAGGGGTGATGGGAGTGAGGCTTTCATCCGCCACGGCAAACACGGTAGAGGGGTGCCTACGAGCCCTCCCCGCGGCCACGGCACACGCCATCGAACCGTCACGGCACTGCCCTTGCCACGGAGTCTGGATGGGGCCCCAGTATCCTTCTCAACACCGTCTTCCAGGCAGCCTCTGCCAACGGACTGGCCTGCAGGATGCCATCACTGATACGCCTGGAGCTGTGTGAGAACCTCAGAGAAGGCAGGACTCATTCACCCGTCTCTGCACCCGTGTGGCAAAGCATCCCCTTGCTGAGACGCAGCCCAGCATCTGTGTCAATGGTAACCCCTGATCTGCTGGCCTCACTGGCCCTTAGGCCTGAGGAAGCATGAGCCCCCTCGCAGCATGAGTCAGGCCGTCCCTGTGTTAACCTCGGGGTCAACTCCAAAGTTTCACCTGCCCCGTATCCACACCCTTTGGCGTGTGCCTTCATGGGTCTCCCCACTCAAGACGCAGAGTTAATTCCCCTCTTCTTGAGGTTGATTTTTACCACGTGACCCTCTTCTACCATCAGGATGTTAGCAGAGGCTTGGTAAGTAGGTCTCCGCTCCCGCTTCCTCCCTGGTCCTCTGTCATTGCCAGAAGAAGCTGGGGCTAGCTGACTGGGGGATGGTACATATGGAGCAGAGTGGCCTGGTTGTTTTAATTCATCAAGAGCCAGGCGACCCCAGGCAAGCGAGAGAGTCCAGCCAAAGTCCCCATCGGCAGATTCATATGACAAGTGAATGCTTACTGCTTCGGGTCCCTGGGACCTTTTGTTATGCAGCAGTATTATATCTGTAGCTAATGGATCTAACCTAGGAGAGTGGTTCTCAATTGTGGCTGCACAGCAGAGTCACTGGGGAATTTTAAGAGACCCCCAGTGGCCAGAGTGTGCCTCCATTTCAGTGAAATGAGAATGTGTAGGGGGGTAGGATCTAAAGATCAAACATATTTTTAAAAAGTTTTTTGAAATTAAAAAAAAAAATTGATGTTTATTTTTGAGAGAGAGAGAGAGAGAGAGAGCGAGCACGAGTGGGGGAGGGGCAGAGAGAGAGGGAGACACAGAGTCGGAAGCAGGCTCCAGGCGCTGAGCTGTCAGCACAGAGCCTGATGCGGGGCTCAAACCCACAAACCATGAGATCATGACCTGAGCCGAAGTCAGACGCTTCACTGACTCAGCCACCCAGGCTCCTCACGATCCAACGTATTTTATATCGTCCGAGCCCATTTCAACAGGTAGCCACGTTGAGAACCACCCTACCAGGACCGATTCTCTACAAGCACAATCACTGTATCCTTCTTCTCTCCTGGTCTCCGTCCCTGCTGTCACCTAATTTCCACTTAAGACAGAATTAAGGACCTTGATTCTGGGGTCGGCAAGCCGGGAACCAGCTGTGTGAGATGTGGCCGGGTCGTTACACTTTTGGGGGGACTTTACCGTCCATAAAACGGGGACAAAGCCAGCCACCTCATACGGCTGTTGTGATGGTCGTTCACGCGGCGGATGTCTTTTGAGCGCGCACTCTGGGGATCAGACGGGGACGGAGATAGGGTGTCTCCTGCTTGGAGGTGCGCCCTGATGCTAGAGGACAGGGCCACGCGGGCAGTGTGGTTATGAGCCCAGGTGCGAGGACACAGCAGGCACCCGATAAATGACAGCCGCTGTTACCGCCAGGATGTTCCCATGTTACTCTCGTTACGCTTCGCTCACTTGGCTTTATGTTCCCCAAAGACAAGGACCGTCCGTCTGGGCTCCCGACACCAGGAGGGGCTCCACCCATCATTGACCTGTGGCCCGAGGAGACCGGGACAAAGGTGGTCTTTCTTTGCTGGGTGTAGGGGACAGCTGGAGTCCAAAAGGGGAAAGAAAGCCTGGGCTGGCTCCAGACCCTGAGGAGGGATCGGGAGGGCCGGGAGTGTCCCCGGAGGAAATGCTTTGGCCCTCGCCCTCGGTGGAGGTGCTGGCTCCACGGCTCCTGCCCACAGGCCCACAACCCACGCCTCGGGCCACACAGAGGGGTCCTTGTTCGTGCTGAAAGGGCCATGTGTGTCCCTCCCTGCCGGGCCTCCCCTCCTCCCTGCAGCTAAAACACACACAGCCGCACCCACACCCCACATGGGAAACACCCCGGAGGCCACCCTGCCAGGGACGTGTCCGCGCCCTCCCACGGATGGGGAGGGTGCCTGTCGGGGGTTTAAGGGCTTTGGGAGGCAGGAGGGATCTCCAGCTGAGAGGGAGGCCAACCCCTGGGAAGGCGACTGAGCCGTCGTGCCCCCAAGGCTCCACACGAGTGCTCCCAGAGAGCCCCTCCTCATAAGCCGCCCTTCTCTCGTTATCATCCGGGAGGTCCCCAAGCCCTTCTCCCAGGGTGAGCCCCCTGCATCCCCCTCCCCGGAGCAGGGCCTCACATGCGGCTGCTGGGCGGGATCTTGCGGCCGTCCCGGAACCAGGTCACCTGTGGCCGCGGGAAGCTGGCGATGCGTGGGGCGCGGATGACGGCTGCTTCTCCGTGGGAGACACTCTGGTACTTCTCGCCTTCCTCAAAGCTCCCCATGTCTGCGGGACGAAAGAGCACGTGTGAGGGTCCACTTGTCCGGCTCCCAGGCCGGGAGCGGTGGCAGCATGTGCCGGCGGGGAAGGAGCCCCCTCCCCCCCACCCCCGCCCCGTGCTCAGACCACCCCCATGACCCCGTCACCCCACCCTCTAACCCCATCATTATGACACGCCCTGCTTTGTGCTTTGGGGGTTTATATCCACATATCCACGAATCGACCGATGCATCCAGCCACCACGAGAGGTTGGTCATTATTTCACAGATTTCGCAGAGGAGGAAACCGCCCAAAACAGGCTCAGAGAGGTTCCTTAACTTGTCCGAGGGCACGCGGCTAGGAAGGGGCCGAGCCAGGATTTGAACTCAGACCTCAGAGACCAGAGTCAGGCAGAGCTGCCCCGGGGTTCCAGGGTGGGGTGAAGGGCGCATCCTGGGGCTGGTTGCCTACGCTCTTGGGGGAGGGAAGGTTGGGGATGCTGGAGAGGGTGGGGTCTTGGATGCTCATAATCGAGTATGGAGATGATTTCCCTCCTCTGCCTCGGGTGGGAAGCGTACGAAGCTGCATGGATGTGCGAACGGAAACACCATATTGCTCTTTTAAAAACATGCCTACCCCGCTGGCAGATACGGAGGGGAACACTTATCCCAGCTCCGATATGTCAGCCAGGAGGGGAAGGGAACATGCAGGCAGGAGACTTCTGGTCGCCCACCTGCCTGCTGAAGTCGGGGTGGGGTTTGATTCCAGCAGCTGAGGGTTACAGTGGGGTACGGAAGCGGTGTTTGTGCGGAAAGTCATGACTTTTGAACATTGACGGACATCCTCGCTACTCAAAGTGTGGCCTGTGGGCCAGCAGCATGGGCACCACCCGCGTGGTGTTAGAAATGCAGGGTCTCGGGTCCCACCCCAGACCCACTGAATCAGAGCCTGAATCGTAACCAGACTCCCGGTGAAGTGTGTCCATATTCAAGTGTGAGAAGCATCACTGTCCTCAACTTGGCCATGTGCCAGTTAGAATCACCTACGGAGTTTAGGGAAAAAAAAGTGCTGATGCCAGTTCAAGAACTTGCTCGGTGTGAGCTGGCCATCGGAACTCCCATGTGCAATCAGGCTCAGGTCACCGAAAACTTACCCTGCATGTCCCCACTGCCCACTGTCCCCTCCCTGACCAAGGGGGCCACATCCCATGCCACCTGGTCTCGTGCGGCTTTGACTGTTATTTCTCAAGCCCTCGAATACCCCTGCCTCTTCTCCCTCTCCTTCAACTGGGAGTCTGGCAGCCTGGCTAAACCTCAGAAAGCCCTGAGGGGCTTCGAATGTTCCCCGAGGTCAGAACCTTTGGGGGTGGTGGCACGTGGATATTTCTGAACATTTTGTTAGATATTTTGTTTTATATTTGAGAGAGAGAGAGAGAACGAGCAGGAAAGGGGCAGAGAGATGGAAACAGAATTTGAAGCAGGGTCCAGGCTCCGAGATGTCAGCACAGAGCCCGATGCGGGGCTTGAACCCATGAGCAGTGAGATCATGACCTGAGCCGAAGTCAGATGCTCAACCGACTAAGCCACCCAGGCGCCCCTGGATGTGGATATTTCTAAAGCTGTTCCCGTAGCTCCAACGTGAGCCAAGGTTGAGAACTACCAGTCTGGGCTCAAGCCAGCCGCTCTTATTACACTTTGGTGGGTCTCAGCACCCCCTGGGAACTCGGGCAGCCCACCGATCTCTTCCCCTCCTCCGCTCCTCCCCGGGGCACGGAGAGACCCTGCTTCAATGCACCTGTATCTCCGAGTTCTTGGTTCGCTCTCCTGAGGACACCGCTGTACCTCAGAGTTTGAGAACCGCAGGCCTGTGCTCTGCTTTCCCAAAGTCCTGGGTTCGGTTCTCTGCCCCCTTGGAGGCCTCGCCGAAGCTCATGCCTTTGCCCACAGTCTCACCGCAAAGACTCTCACATCTGCTCCGGCTCTTCTCCGAGCCCCAGCACCCAACACTCGATTTCCCACCGAAAATGTTGGCACATCTTACCTTCCTGTTATCTCAGTTCTGTGAATAGCATCCCACCTGCACCTGCCCAGACCACCTGGGGTTTTCAGGTCCCTGGAGGCTTTCGTGGTGCTTCATTCACCTCCCTGTCCCCACAGAGTCCCACGACTCTTCCTCAGGAATGTGCATCCAAGTGTTTTCCCCAATTCCCGCAGGCCCACCACCAAGCCCACCCCGTTACTCCAGCTATGCTGAGCCCCCCACCCCACGTGCTCCCCGGAGGCTCCCCACACCCAACCATCTCCCACACTCTTCCTATTTGCTTTTTCTGGCCATATCACTGACTTGCTCAGAGCCCTCGGCATCTCCTCATGACCCCCCAGGAAAGTCTAAATTCCCTTGCTCGGTTTCGAGGTCCCTCCTAATCTGACCCCAACCAACCTTTCCATGGTAACCACGTCACTGCTGTCCTGCCACACTGGATTATTCACACCCTGCTTCTCATCTCAGGCCTGTCCTCGTGCGGGGCCCCTGCCTAGAAAGCCACCAGAACAAGCCGTGATTCACCAAGGCGCCATGATTCAACAGCATCTCAGAGAGATCCAGCCAATTAAGTATCGGCAAATAGAAGGTGCTGTCGGCATCCCTGTTCTAAATTTGGCAGGCGGTAAATGCACTGGTAATGGCTTTGGAGTCCCTGAGATTTGAGTTCAAATTCTACTTCTGTTATTTATTAGGCATGACTTTGGGCAAAATTTTGACCTCGCTGCGCTTTAATTTCCTCTTTTGAAAAATGGAGCTGTGAAGACTATAACCTTCCTCATAGGTTATAGTCAGGATTACGTGAGATACCACATGTATGTGTCAGGATGGATCTTTCTTTTTATTTTTTAAAGTGTATTTTTTTTGAGAGCGAGCGAGCGAGCGAGCATGTGTGTGTCATCAGGGGAGGGGAAGAGAGAGAGGGAGAGAGAGAATCCCAAGCAGGCTCTGTGCTGTCAGCACGGAGCCCAATGTGGGGCTTGATCTCATGAACCGTGAGATCATGACCTGAGCCAAAATCAAGAGTCGAAAGCTTGAGTGACTGAGTCACCCAGGCACCCCTTGGGTGTATCCTTCCAAAGATGGCTGCATCAATATTTATCTCCCATTCAACATACCCTTCTCACGAATGTGCTGGAAATAATGATGTACGATATCCAAGGCCAGGTCATCAAAAGGATGCAGCTTCCATCTAGATCTCCCTCTCTGTCCGGACACTCCTACTTGGGATCCAGCCGCCATGTTGTAAGAAAGCTCAATCTGGCCCACTTGGACATGAGAAGGGCCCATGGATGGAGGAAATGAAGCCCCCAGATGATAGTCAGCACCAACAGTGGACAGACAAGGTCCCAGCCTTTAAATAAGTCTCCCAGCGGAGACCTCACTCATACAGAGCAGAGACAAGCCATCCCCACCATGTCCCGTCTGGATCCAAGGCTCACGCACTCGGTGAGTATACTAGATGATTGCTGGACACTGTTATGATTGAGGGCAATTCGTTACACAGCCGCAGCAACTGGGAGAGTATATTAAAGTGCTAAAAATTATACCTCATGTTTACAGTATTAAAACATTAGAATCGTCCACATTGTTCACAGTTTAGTTTAAATATCTACCTCTTCAACAAAGATTACCCTAAGCCACCAAACACAACTAAAGAGCAAAGACCGCTGAATGCTGGCCCTGTGTCAGTGTCCTTCCTAAGTGGACTTCACCTTCGCGTACTCCTCATGCTGCCACGGTCAGCTCGACTCTAATAAATACACATTTTAAGTTGTTTATTAATTTCCATTACTTGGCTCTGTCTATAAAAAAATTGCATCAATAAATCACATCGATTTCCGTTCTCACAATAATTTTATCTATTTAAAAAACTTTGCACGGAACTCCGAAGATATATTTGAACAATTTAAAGCAATTTCATGGTAATAGTGTTTCTTTCTCCTCTCTCCAGTTTTATTAGCTCCATTTCGTCAGTGAGGAAATTAAAGCTCATGGAGACAGAGTGGCTTATCCCACGTCAAGCAGTCAGGTCAGGGCAGGGCCAGCATTCGAACCTGGCCCCCCTTCTGCACTTCCTCTCTGCTTCTTCCATGACTCGTCCCCTCCGTTGACATGCTTCGTGCACATTCTTTCTCTCTCCCTGCTATACTGTGGGCTTCACGAGGCAGCGGTGTTCATCAGCACGTCCCTACGAGGTACCTGTGCTCTGCACACTGTATGTTCTCTCTAAACTCACCTAATGCCATCATGCAATGGCTCTGGCTGAGCCCCTGCTGTGGGATGGATGAATGGGTGGAGGGAGGGAGGAAGAGGTGGATGGATGGAGGGAGGAGGGGACAGATGGAGAAAGGAACGGTCGGATGGACGGAAGGAGGGCGGGAGGGTGGATGGCCGGACACGCGCATTCAGGCGTGCGTGAATGCACTGCGAGACGGATGGAAGGAAGGGCACAGCTGGTCTGGGTCCAAATTCTGCAGCTGATGCTCTTCTCCACGTTTCCATCCCACAAGCTCCCTGCCTCCCGTGGCTCTCAGGCCCCCAGCACCCTCCCACTCTCTCCACTCCACAGGCTTCCAGCTCTGCTCACCGGCCCCAGGGCACAGCCGTGCGCATACGGAAACAGCAGCAGCAAAGGGCCAAGGGGGCATCCACTCAGCCGGCCCCCCCCCCCCCCCCCCCCCCCCCCCCCCCCCCGTGCCACAGAAAGGCTGGAAGGAAGGAGGCCCCGTGCTGGCAGAGCCTGGGGACCCAGGAACCCCTGGGAAAGAGCATGCATCCAAGGCAGAAACAGGTAAGGGTTTTCGGCACTTCCCCTCCAAGGTACACGCTTGTTAACGCCCCATGTTACATCCGTGGCGCTGATCCACCTTTCCCAACAAATTCCCCTGCGAGCAAAGAAGTGTAAGCCTGGGGCACAGCTGGAAGTGGCCTAAAAATTCCTGATGTCTTTGTTACAGCTTAAAAGGTCTTGTGAAGTATGCACT